TCTCTTCCCAGTTTTTAAAGGGAGGACCTCAGTTTTCTCACTGCACAAAGTGATCAAGTACATACCACAGCCTCCCAGAGGCCGTCCAAAGCACCCCAAGAGCTTACTGCATCTTGCAGTGCATATCAAGTATCTCTTCATGGACTGCATGAACAGTTTAGATCTCCAAACTGGAGCTGTGAGGGACAGACTGGAAAAGCTGGGGCAAGGCCTTGCACTGCAAAATCTAAAGCTCCTGCTTTAACTCTATTAGTAATTTTTAAATATTTCTTCAGATAATTATGAAGTGAAAAATGAGCAGTCTGAGCTTCAAATCCCAATGTTGTCTATGTAAAAATATACACCACCACACAATTGTGTAGTAGTTGCTTACTACTTACAACTTACTGGTTGCTTTTAAATTAACTTTATATGCAATTAATTGCTTTTTCTCTGTATAAAAGTATATTTAGGTCTTTTTCTCCTATTGAATTAGACTTATTTAGCTGAAGATGTGCTAAAAGACCATAAATAAGGCAGTAAAATAAAAGCAGATTATGGAGTTAGGAGGAGATATCCTTTGGGATATTGGAAGTTGATGTCTTACCCAGAATTCTTTCACAGATTTAATAATGATTTAACATACCTTCCCATGACTGTGACAGCATCCACTACACAGAGCCAGCTGTAATTTTTTTTACATTTCCTTTCATATGTATATGGTTGAATTAATCATTTGTTATGCCTCTTATATTACTTGCAATTGCTAAAAGTGGTTTGATTCTTTTTCTGTTTTTGAGACCTTGCCTGGTTGCTCAAGTACTACTAGAAAAAAACCCAAAATATACATAATGAAAATGGATCACTAAAATAAAATAATAAAACACCCCCAGCTAATACATGATATTCTTTAAAACCAATTTAAAAATCTTTAAGCTTAGAGACAATCAGTATGCTACTACAAATCTTGACTCTCTTAGATTGTTGTCCCTGGATACTTTATGCTCATGACAGACTGGAACAGAGAAAATATTAACCTGTCTTCAATCATGATAATTCAATGACATTCACAGCATTAGGAGAACATCTTCCTATTAAGAACTGCCAACATCTAAAGGAAGAAATATTTAACTAATGATCTTCACCTCCCTGTCAAGTTACTGTTCATTTTGCTTTCTTTGTTTCACACTAGACTGTTAACAAGTTCTGCACACACATTTCTGGTTCTTTCAAATAAACATTACCTTTGCAAAGGCAAATATCTTTGAGATGTGATAACTCCTTAGATGTTAAAAAATGTCAGAGCTGTTGTCACTTAAAAATAACTTGTAGTTACTACTGCATTCATCTTTGACTTACATCAAAGCCAGGGAGGAGAGTGCTAAGATCCCATTGATTTATAGATTTATTCAGTCCTTTTATAAGGTAGAATGGTCTGGCAGACCTTCTTACTGAAGAGAGAATATACCTGGCTTGGACATCTTTCTCCTCTGTCAGGTATTATGCCTTCACAAACTGATACCAAGACCTGAGGTATGTATTAAATCTGAGAGGTATTTTTTTCTGTGAGAACAGTTTCACTACTTCAGTAGAGAAAAATATGAACTTCCTCAGAGTGACCAGAATGTATCAATGCATTCTTTTTTGTACCACTTCAAGGTGTACAATTTTATTGCCCATCTTCTAAATTTGATGGCTTATAATTACTCTTATAAATTATGTCTTTGGCCCATAACAGTAAATATGTGGAGCAATATTTGCTTCCTTACCATATTTTTATTTGTCTCAGCATGCAACCCTTGGGACAGGTCAAACTCTTAGATGGTGTTTGACATATTTGGCTTCATGAAAACTCTCTCTTGTCTTCCTGTGCTTAGTTCTTCCATTTTGAACTATGCCTGTTCTAGTTTTGTATACCTTGAGCTTTGGAAGGGTCTGAATGAGGAAGATTTTGGCTAATATTTCACTTCTAGCTGCTTTCAGTGTGAGAAGGACCAGTGAGAAGGACCATAACTTTCGTTTTCTTTTAGCTATATTTCACAGACACATTTATGATGTTGTTCAGAGAAGAATCAAATAACAACCTCTTTCTTCACCTCCACTATCATTCTATGTTGCCTATCAATTTGTGTTAATTACATTATTTTCTGTAATTTTTATAAGAAAAATAGTGGAGTCAAGAAATACACAACCACAGATATATATGTCTAAAAAAATAAGTTGATCTTAGAACTTAAGCCCAAAAAATCAAAACAAGTCTCACTTTCCTGATTTTTTAATTTCAGATGAAGAAAAAAAGCAATTCATTAGGCAAAAAAATAGATAATGTATTATATTAAAACTCTGAAATCAGTGGCTGGGGATTTGATTTACCTTTTTCTCAAATCTCAGATAAGTGAAACATAAGCAACTTTTATCTGCCAATATTTTAGAAAATATGCCAATAAAATGAGTAGCATAAACTGATCTTTGAAATACCCATTTATCTAGTTTGCAGAGTAAAGACAAATATAAAACACTCATTAGCAATATATAGAAATAGCTTAAAATTCTTAGCCTATAATCAAAAATTTATTTCCAAATATGATTTGATTCTGATAAAGCAATGATTAAGAATATACAAAGATGACTGTATAGTTGTTATAGCTGATATTATATGTATAATTTCAGGGTCTCAGAAATCAATAGAAAAAAAGTTCTTTAATTAAGACATCCTTTAGCTCTAGTCCATAGTAACTAGCTAACAAGGGGCTTCCAGCAAAAGAGAAACATTTCTCTAAAGCCAAGAAACATGCAATTTCTGGATCATTTCTTACATTTCTGATTGTCAATGCCATGCTATTTTTTTGCCTCTGAAGTCAGGAAACAAGTAAGAAGTAAAACTAAAAAGAGGAATAAAAATGTTCAGAATTGAAGGAATTAAAAAATGCCAGATATTTCTACGCTAGTGCTTAATAAAGTGTGTTTATAAAATCAGAGAACAAACAAACGAACACTTTTGCTTGCTGTTAATGAGAAAACATGAGAAATGCAATACTGCTTGACTGCTACTGGGTTTTAATTTGTACCAAAACTGCAAATGAAACTGTCTTTCCTCTGCACAGTTTACAATATATGGATATATTTACATATGTACTATATTTCTTATACTCAAAATATTATGATACCATGCTGCAGCCAACAAGGTCTGAGGATAACAACTAAGATGAGTTTTTAGGTGGATAGTGACATTTCTTCTATTTCATACATCTGTGTATAGTGTGTGTGTAAGTTCACCCTGAACTCTAATGAACCTGTAGTTATAGTTCATGTCCCTTCTTATAATGTTTCTGTCCCACAGCTCCCTAGAAGTGTACCATTTGGGTAAAATTACTTTCCTTTCACTTGGCAGAATAGACCCAATGAGCCAGTTGGGTTACATGGATTGGCCCTTGACGTTATATGGAGATGAAATAAGGGGGTTTCATATGGTCACCGAAAGCTCAGATTTTTGGAGGTTTAACGCTCACTTATCCTCTCCTTCTAAACTGCTCATTCTCACTTATGTTTCATGATACTACGGTGTGTGAAATTTCTTGCTTGCAAACTTCTGTTTTGAACAGCTGTTTTGTCAGCCACAAGCTAATTTTTCTGTCACTGAATATACAGCTCATCCCTTACCTCTTTCTGTTTCTCATATACTGAGCCTATGGTCATGTTGCAATTTGAGCTTAACAAAACTGAATGTAAACTGTTTTTTCATCCACATGCTCTCATTTCCTTTCTCTTTGCCTGCCTGAAAAAAAAATGCCCTGATCCATCCAACCCAAATATTTTTTTCAGTTTTCTCTCCTTCTTGTCCAGCAAATTCAGGTCATTTCTCTTCATACTTGGTATATGCCAGGGTCACCCTCTTCTCTATTCTCTTATCTGCCAGGTTTCTCCCCCAGGTGTGTGTTACATCACACTGTTTTTTGCCCAGTTTGCCTTTCTGGCCTTTGTTATGGACATATGCCAAATACTATTGCTCAGGCTGTGTTTCTTCTTTTTTGATGTGAACTCTGATTTCACTACTTTGCTCAGCTGACCTCTCCCCTGGCATGGCCTGGCCAGTTTCTCATTTTCTATAATAGAAAATTTTGTCATCTTTTAAGCACCTCAGTAATTCCGCACATCCTTATTGTCCCTGGCTGAGGTTCATTCTGGTCCTTTCTTCCTTGTGCCATCATTCCTAGCCTTAACTCCTAGTTTCATACCTTCATTCACATTTGTCTCTGATTTTTATTATACTGACAGTTTATTTAACTGACAGCGTTAATTACTACTTATTACAGAAAGTTCCCACCCTGTACCCATTCCTGTCTCTTTAATTCCAGTGTTACTTACATGGACAACCTTTTTCTTCCTGTTTCATAAAGAACTTGCTTCTACCAGTCTCTCTCTACTTTTCTACCTTTTGGTCACTGTTCTTTTTGACCTTGGAGAGAACCATACAGGTCATGGATTTGCATGTAAACAATACAAGGCAATTTGTTACAAGGAAAATGAAGGCCTCTTCTGAGCACTTCTCTGAGGAAGTTACAAATGAAACTAATTGATTTGGTCTCATTGTCATTTAAAGGACATTCTTTTGACATGTTCTAGGTGATCCCTGAACTGCACTCCAAAGGAATGACAGAAAATTGTACAGACATGGCCATGCTACCAAGCTCAAGGCCCTTGCTCCAAGCTACCTAGATCAAGTACCTACAGAATGTAGCGTGGGGGTACAAAGCACAGTCTGAACCAGGGAAATTGAGTTTTCATGGAAGAGTTTAAAGGAAGTTGAACATTGAGAACATTTTACTTTCTAAGGAAACTGGATTCATGCAGAAATATATTGAGTTTATGGAGTCTTCTGAATTCCTTTGTGTTCAATGACATCTGCCACAGGATTCAGACACTTCTAGATTATTTCATGTAAACTCATACAGCCTTTTCCACAGTTAAAACATTCCATTAATCTGTTTCAGAACTTAAGGAGTTATGAGAAAATGGGTTACCTTTTCTTGATATTGTCGTCGTGAGGAATCCAGAGACTGAATGAGGGCAGTGGCATGACCAACAAACATGGCATAACAAGTAGCCCCCACGATCATACTCAACATGGTTATCCACAGGTCGGACATGCTGACAGGGGCGCGGGCTCCATAACCAATGCAGAGCATATGGCTCATGGCTTTGAAGAGTGCATAGGAATACTGCTTTCCCCAGGAATCATTCTGCAAGAAAAGAGACAGGTGGCTGAGCCTGGAAGCAGCTGAAGGGAGAAATATGTTTGTACCTGTATAGTGGGATCATAGATTGCTGGCTCTGAAAAAGGGGCCTGGTGATGTATCCTATATGCTTGAGAAGAGATATTCCTTCTAAATTAATCATTAGATAAAGCGTCAGGGATTCTGACAGATAATAGCACACTGAGATGAAATAAAATTGACTATTTTTAATACATGATTGTATTCTTAAATATGGGTGTTAATCTAATTACAAGGAGACTAAAGGTCAATTTTATTTTACAGTCCACGGCAGATGAATTAGAAAAAGCTGAACACGCAGACTTACCAAGCACAATAAGGCAGTATTTTGTTTTAATATGCATGAACATATTCTTATGGCCTATGTTATTTATTTCTTTTTGAAACTGTCAATTTTAATACAAAACCACATTCACCTTACTAGCTGTTTCATTTTTCAAGGACAGAAAAAACCCTGTATTATTTCTTGTAATGTCTGGTTATCCTGATTTTTTCTTGTAATATTGTGTTTATACATGAATAATTGTGAAAAGATGTCTGATTATTCTGCATCATCTGTGTTCATAGCCACATTCTGTGCAACTCAGCCCCTCGCTCCAAAAAGGTGAATACCTAGGCCCTGCATTTCTGATGTGAAGCTACCCCTTTCCATTCTCTCTGTGAGATTAGGACACGACACTTCACTCACAAGCTTTTAAAACTGCAAAGGTGTTGGCAGAAAGTCAAAGAGGCTGTTCCCAGAGAAAAAGAGACACCTTAACACATTCCAAGAAGCCCTGGGACTCCTTGTCAAGTTTTTCTATTTTTCTTGCCAAAGGAATAAAAAAGAACAGGGAAACAAACTGTGCTTGCAGGTATGCAGTACACATGAGAAAACACTGTATTTATCACAAAAAGAACTGAGAACAATTTAAAAAATAACAAAGTGAAGAAGAAAGAACTGGGATGACATTTGAAAAATTAGATAGCTATACAGTATAGGGTCTAATATACAAGACCAAAAATAATAATCCTGCTAACATCAACAAATCTCCAAATCATGAGTAGCATCTATATATAAAATTTATCTATTAAATACTAGTATTTATGTCTCTCTTCCACCGACATCAGCTTTACTCAAATACTCTTATTTCTAAAAGAGCTTCAGGCTTGCTCTCTTGCCAAGGTTACTAATTACCCTTGTGTTTTACCTCTATTAAAATGCTCTTTCTAGACCCCCAATTAGCCTAAATAACTGGTACCACAAAAAAAGCTGCCACTAGCTGTATTGAAGATGACATAGTAACTATTTTCACTCAGGTAATAATTTACAAATTATTGGCTCCTCTGTAAGTTAAATCTTTTTGGATTTGGGAGCTGTTTCTGTCTTCACAAGTCAAAATTTTGTGTCATAAATACATCTAAGGAATAGGTTTTGAATGTCTATACTTAAAAAATTTTTAAAATGAAAATTATCTTAGATAGCTGGGAATCAGATAGGCTTCAGTGAGTAATGAGGAAATAAGTCTCCTATTGTTTCAGATCTTTAAAAAATACTCAAAAAATGAAAGAACCACAGAAACTCCCTGCCTTCTGGGTGGGGAGGTATTTTAATGCAAATTCCCCAAGACTCATACCAAATTCTCTAGCAGTTGCATCTTTATATAGATTATAATGGGAAAAACAATGAAGTGAATGCTAGAAGAAATATATCTAGGTCTTTTTAAGGCTACAAGTAGCATTATTAAAGTCACAGTATTCATGAGGCTGTAAACTCAAACTGTCAGTTCTTGCAGGTCTCTTTACAGTGGATCTTGCTCCTTAACTGTATTTTTCAGTATAACTATTATAAATATTAACAAAAATAAAAGCTGATCTTCATCCTCTCTATGGATATTTTCTATCATACCTTTGCTGAGATAAATCTCAATTACAATAATTCCTATAAAATTATATTTTTACATTAAAGTCTTTGAGTTAATCCAAACACTGGTGGATTTTATTTCATGACTGAGGTACTTTCCAAGTCTGTGAATCACAATTATGAGTAAAATACGATTATCTCAGGAAAGAATAAGAAAACGGAAGTGAAGAAGAAGCAGGAATAAACAAAACAGAAAGAGTGTTTCCTCCTAACAGGGTAACAAGGCAAGTGGAAAATAAATACTACTTAAGAAGTACTATGAGGGAATAAATGAGCTGTAATGACAGAAGAAAAAAATGAAAATGTACAACAAAATAAACAAACATGTTTAACTACATAGCTGACTTTATATGTCTGTGTACATTTATAAGCCAAAGTGTGATCCAACATTTCAGTCAGTCAGGACTGGATCTGTATCCAAAGCAGAGGTCAAAGCTATCTCAAATGGCCAGTTTGTTATACAAGCAGCATCAGCTGTTCCTGTGTAGTTTGTTAGAGACCTTCTTACAGGCTAGGCACATTTCAGACATTTGTGAATGGGTGACCCTGAGCAGCTGGTTCTCAGATAGGTATAAAGGCTTTAGAAGAAGGACAAAAAAGCCCCAAAAGCTAGTGAAAAAGCATTTGAATTCAATTTTGATTTATCTGAGGATCTTGTTGCTGAAAATACTTGCCAATGCTTTTTTGTTTCTATTCCTTAATAATCCATCGGTTCTTATATAACCAGTTGTGAACATTGGTCTTTTTAGTTTGTATGGGGACTTTTTTTTAAATCATGTTCAACAAATGCCATTGTGGAGGGTACACATTTCAGTACAGTTACTTGTGTTGTTCAATGATTTATTCCATATATAAACCACTTAAAAAAACATTGATTCTAATGTCAAATCCTATACATCACGTATGTTACAACCAATGTTACTAAATGAAATAATAATTATTTAATTATTTTCCTATTTGTGTTGTATAACCTAAGGGTTTGGCAGGACTAACTCTAACTTTGTTTCATTGTGGGAGGTTGGAATTTTCCACAACCCTGTTCCAATATGCTGCTCTTTGCTGTACAAACTGAGGTGTGGCCATTCCTCTGCTACTAGCCTACAGTGATATTTTAGTTTTTTAATAAGAAGCAGTTTTGCACCTGCATCATAAGGAAATTTTTACATAACACATTCACAGATAATATTCCTGAGTTAATAGAAGCCCATTCTATAAAATAAAATATTCTGTGTTTATATAATACATATAATATAATACAATATATATACTATAATCCTAAATATTAATATTTACATAAATACACATTAAATGTTTCAGCAAATAGTCACATTCTGATTTTAATGTATAGTTTTGCTTGGTTTTTTTTTTTTTAAAAAGCAAACCACCATCTTCTATGAGCTGAAAAAATCAACTACTAATTAATAAAAAGGGGCATTTAATTTCTTAGTTGATGATGGGTTGATCACTGTTTCCAGATTAGCAGTAATCAGTTTAAAAGTTTTAAATGTAATGACATCAATTTGAAAAAACTATTAAAGACTGTAATTGTGAGAAATACCAAAGCTATTTATCCAAGGTTTGATTACATAATCTAGCTTGATTACATTAGGAAATCCTCACATTTATGAAAGCAATGGTCACTGATCATTTGCAATTAGTTCTATAAGTATATACATTATCTTTGCAGTTATCCTGAAGAATATATTAATTACAGGGTGCTTCTGATTCTTAAAAATCTGTTTCTCAGACTTTTCCTTCACCACAGAATACTATGGTTTGTCCCATAATTTCATACAAGATTCCTACAAATATCTGTTTGTAATATTAACTTTTCAGCTCAAAAGAAATAAATCACAGAAAGATCACATGGCACCTTCTAAGGAACAACAATAAAAGGCAAATTATTTTTCTCAGTGGATTAAGAAAGGGTTTTGTGTTTTACTGTAGTCTATGGAGGTTTTCATCAGGAAATTTTTTCCACTCCCATGTTGTAGTCATTGTCTCAGGCACAGCTTATCTTCCCTCAGCCATATCCTTGCACTGAGATATAAATTGATTTAGAAATCTTGTACTAAGGAGACTACTGCAAACAGTAATAGTTTCCCCATTTTTGCTTTAGTTCCTTTTTTCTTTCACATCACAGTCACTGCAGGTGTCACAGAAATGGTCCTGTCAGTTTGCAAGGGCATGCTTTACAATCATGCAGCAAAGATTGACTTAATAATTAAGTGAAATGGTTTCTACAAGGATCTTGAACTCATTCTCACTTATCTTTCAAAATCGTAGTAGAAATGTGGAAGTAGCTTGTCCCTATCCAAAGGAGCTTGCCTTATTATCATTCAGACACATTCATTCAATGCCAAGCATTGTCCTTAGGTTCTTCTGAAAGTAAGTGACATCTGAAGAAAGGTCTTCATAGGATATAGGTAGTTATTGTCTATCCTAGTAAATTAAAAAGTAGCAAAAGGCATTTCCAAGCTCTAGAATTTGGTTCACATAGTTTTACTGTTAGAAGTGCCCAGGGCGTGTGGCATGGTGGCCACATAACACTCTCCCAAACAACAGCAGGTCTACTTTAGAGCAGGTGTAAGGTGAGGAACCATTCCTTGTAGGCAGCTGGCATGAGCTTGCCCTGTGCCGAAACCAAACCAAGATTAATACTATGGATATAGCAGGTAGCTCCTAAACCATTCCTACCCTGCTGTCCATCAAAAGTGGGCACTTTTAATTTATGACTGTGGAGGCAGCTGGGCATTCCGTAAGTAAGCCCTCTGGTTTTAGCATTGTCACAGGAAGTTACTGCACAAAATAAATGTAAAATTAGGGATGGGGCTTCAAAAGTTGAAGAAAGCAAAAAGAAGTAATCTACATATACATTTTGATATAGATTTATAGTTTATATACTTTTCCATCAGTAGGCTAAATAATTATCTGCCTCTGGTGTCATACAGTACCTTAGAATTACACATTAGTTAAAATCTCAGACAGGAAATTGCAGCAAATTATCATTTCAGCATTTCATCTTTTAAAGAAGTTGTTTGAATTTCACAATGAATGATCAAGT